TATGTAGGTCTTAGCCGCTACGTCCGGGGTAATCGACTCCTGGCACGTTCAGGCTCAACCGCAAGAGGCCCACTTGATTCTAAAATTCCTCCTTGGCCTCCTCAAAGTAGTATGTTTGGTCACTGTCACAATTAAGTACCTTTACTTTAGTTCCGCTCTTTTTTCAGAACTTCCGCGGTGTTTCTTGGGGCCAACCAAACGTCACTTTTAAAATGACTTGCGCTTTTTCAACCGTCGTTGCGTTTATTCCAACTCATTTAAAAAGTCAAATGTAGGCGAATTTCCCAGGAGTTGAATTCTTGGGGACTATACACTCAAGTTAAGAATGAGAAAGAAAAATTTGTCGTCGTGTGCCAGTACGTCCTCCATAACACGTCACATAAGGAAATTTCATGTTGCAGTCGTGCATGTAGTACAGTAAGTTGCCCAGTGTCCGGACACTTCAGTTTAACATTGCAATAACTTTCCTTTGTTAGTCGCAAGAGCTCTGAAATTTGGCCCAGAGAAAATCTATTTAGTCCTTAATATGACAAAAGACAGTTTAACTTTTTTGCCTTTGTTTCCATCGCGAAATTAATATTTTTGCAGAGCTCCTATGTTGCCCAGTATCCGGACAGCTGGCCCCAGTATCCGGACAAAACAATAACAACGTAATTGTACATAAATTTCGACAGGCAAGCTACTTATAAGCTTCTCTTGCACTTTCAAAGTAGGCTGGCAATCGATTCCAAAAATGTAACCTAGCATCGAGAAATAAAACATAGCAAATGACTGGGGTATGGTGGGGAACGCGAGCGGTTGTTAAATGGCATAATACTTACTTCCTTGTCTAGGAACTTTTCATTAATTTAAGGAAGGTATCCGTGGACATGCCGAAGCCGCGGTTTGCTAGCTCAATTAGCCAATCTGCAAACGACTTTTTTTTCCCATTTTTTATTAAAAAAAAAAAGCTTGGGGAAGGGACCTCAATTCCACGGTCAAAGGTCACTCTCTTATTTAGTCTAACCTGCAGTGTTGATTTCTTCATGCTCAGTGCCTACAGACCCTACAATAAGGTTGCTTTTCTAGCACTAATTCCTCCTTCTTTCACCTCTCTCAATCCCTTTGTGACATTTTTCAGACCGTTGCAACCCCATTCTAGCAGTCACAACTGGGTAAAGTATGAGAATTCCAGGTTCAAATCCGACGTTCATCCACCTGAACAGAACGGCGTCTTCTGCGACTGTTTCGCAAGCTTTCAACTCACCAAAACCTTCATCTTAAAGCTGAAATGTTCAGCTTTCATTCGAAATACTTCGTTTACTGATAGCTGAAAAGGGCGCCTCAAAAATTGAGTTTTTGTTTTAAGTGTCCGGATACTGGTACCGTCCGGATACTGGGCAACTTACTGTAACGGCAAAAATGTACAAAAACTGTGAAAAAATCGTTGTTTTCTCATCAAACTGACTATTTTGACGTTATAGTTGCCTTCGCCGTTAAGCCCTTACTTCTTACATCATGCTGAAATAATAAGAATCTTGAACATCTAACCTGAAAGTTGGCTGAGTTCAGACACCCTTATTTCTCGCGTGATCAGAAAGCGCTGTTTTGAAAAACCTTTCAAAGAGGGTTTTCAAAAAGTTGCGCTTTTTCCGTGACCATTTTCACGTCATTCTCCTGGCAAACAGTTTCGAGTAAATACGGTTACATGCGGACGGGGCCAAAGTTTGTACATTCAGTTGGACTAGTTAAATGCCTGCCACTAAGTATTGTAGCTTTTTAACGTTCTCAATTGAGAGAATGACATTCATTATTGACATTCTCTCTCAGTTGTTGAATGTTGCCTGGTGATACATTGTCATTTCTTGACACGGACCTTGAAATTTTTGTCAACAGCAAATATTTCGAAATAATTTCAAAAATTCCTTTTAAAGGGCTCTAGGGAATTATTAAAGATACAATATATAGCAAAAGCGGCCGTAAGTCGTCCGTTATAATAGTTCCTGCTTTAATTGTATAGGAAAACCGACCAGCGTCCTTCCCCCGAGTAGCTACTTAACCTTTAAAGAATTTCGAAACATTGCCGGAACTTAAATGTGGAACTAAAAGATTTTCCTATAGATGAAAGGTAAGAATAATCTTTCAACCTAGCGCTAACTAATTTAACGATTTCATGGTCGGAATTCTTCGGTTTTCGCGTAGTGGCTTCACCACCCAAAATTGCAACGTTACGACTCAAATCTTCGACGTTTTATACTTCTGCACGAAATGTTCTTAGAACGCCAAGGGATTATAAGCGTCCTTTTTTTACACGGAGAGAGGAAAGCGGGTTTACCGCTTTTCCTCTGTCAAATTTGAAAATGATACTCGACTTTTTTTCATGATTTTGGTGTTCTTAGAGTTTATTTTTAGTCAAAGAAATATTGACACAAAATCGTTTGTTTGATTTCAAAGCTTATTCAGCCCTTGTGACACTACTGACTACCATTTTTTAGCAGAAAAAAGGAGAACCTTTAGGATCATCTTTGTAGGAGCCGGTGTAAGAAACAGATACGACCACTAAATTTGCTCGCAACGGCCCGTTCATCATATTGTAGACTGTGAAGTTCATCCACTGATATGAGTATCTCGCGCATCCCTTATGCAAATAAACGAAACTTTAAAGAAGCTGTAATTTGTTTTTTGTAAATAGTTAGTACTAAACATCAACATTAGCATTTAAATTACCAAGCTCTAACACCTGATCAAATGGATGTTGGCCCTCTGCTAATACCACTTTCTGATGTGAGATGAGATGTTCTTTCCTTTATAACATTGAAGCGTTGTCCATACTTATATCGGTTTTATATATATAAATGACTATTAGCCTGGGAACTTTCAAAAACTTACGTAATAGTTTTTTATTCTGAAGTCACCTTGGCAATAAGCATGATCATGCTAATCGAGATTGTATTAGGAATGCGTGTAATCGGTATTCAAAGCTCCATCAACAAGGTATTTTAGCAATTGCACTTTTGAGGACGCTTTACAGTTGTCCCTAGCCCTGAGCAGAGATTTCGCTTATTTTTACTACTCTCTTTTTATAGTCACGACTGAAAAACTGTTACATTTGCCAGAAGGGATTTTTAAAATCAAGACGTGACCGTGGTAAATTCCTAGCCGGGCTGACAGCTAATTTTCTGAAAATATCCTTTTAAAGTGGAACCTCTGCAATAATACTGTGCAAATTTTTAACTTGTTTCTTTTTTCTTGAAGCATTGGACTTATTAAGCACCATTACGTGACTCAGTAAGGGAACACTAAAGTTCCTGTCATGTAGAATGACGCACACCGCACTGCTTGCTATATTACCATTACGGATGAGGTTTTGTGGCCCGAGTGGCGGAATATCGATTCAAGTTTGCTCTCGTGACTAAACGTAATTCTCGGGAATAGCATGCCGCAAGGGAAGTAACTACGAGGTAAGATTTTGTATTAGTTGAGCTGAGTATAACCATTTAACTCTTGTATAAATACAATTAATGTTTTTATTGAACTGTTTTGCAATTTCACGTGTCAGTGAACTTCATGCTTTATGATAGAAATGTTGCAGTTCGTTTCATGGTTTTATCGACAAATTCCTTCACGCACTTATTGCTTAACTATCATCTGTGTAAGAGAATTGAGGTCATAGCTGATAAATTTAGGTCTCGACCTTACAGCCATAGTCCTATTTACGATTGTCCAACGATGCCAGTTTTTCGGAAAACCAGGATTGCAAATTCTATCCTCATGTGAGGTATGAGCACAACTTTGATGTGTAGGTTTCAAGTAGGTACTGAACGTAAATCATAAATCTTCACTGCACTGCTTAATATGAAAGGCTAGATTACTTATTTGTGTTTGCGCATGTTGCGGACACTCATCAGTTCATTGTTGACATTGCGTGCTGATCCCACTAGGATGCTTGTTTCCAACGGTCGGGAGTTTGAATCCGTAAGAAATAGTTTTAGCCAAAGGAAGGAAGGGAAAAAAGGGTTCATATCTATCAAAACCACAGTTTGGAGCCTTAATTTTCTCTAGGTTATGGACAGGATCTCGTCGTAAATCGTCGTTAGGTTTCATGTTTCTCATCCTCGGTGTAACAAGCTGTGAAACTCACGAGTGACGTAAAACAATGAATACAAAGAAGCCACTGAGAAGTCAACACAAAAGAGTCAAGGAAAATAATAGCTAGAAAACAAAGTAAAACTTCACAGGTTTTTACACCGAGGTAAACCCTTGACCGTGTATGCTATTCACTGTGTCTTCACCGCTCAGGCAGCTACAAAATAGAACTAGTGCCACTGCTGCAGCATTAACGTGTTAATTTTTTGTTTGTTAGTAAATCGATAAACACAGGAACTATAACAGGTGCATGGCCAGAGTCAGTTTAGACTTCGTATAAACTGCAAAGACAGGCCTTTTCCTAGCCTCCCACGCAAACGTTCTGAGAGGAATGATTGCACGACGAACCCGTAAGAACGTCTGCGTGGGAGGCTAGCCTTTTCCTCGTTGTCAAACGCACGATCCGGAGGCCTTAGGTCAACGATGATGAATATTTTAAAAACGCAAAAAGCGGTGTTAGAAATTTTTTCAGAGGTCGGAATACGTACGGTGCGCTCAGTTTCCCAAATCAGCCCTACTCGCCCTGTCCCCCAAATCGTTTTCACGCGGATGACTTGATTCAATTTCCGTTTTTTTGATGAAAATAGTTAGGAGCCTATTAGGGTATAAACTGAAGCTCCAGATATGGCAAGACTACGATCAAATTTAAAACTGTGTTTTTAGACAGCAGTTGCGGCCTGCGCCTTTGGCAAACTCAGACATGTAAAACACTGCATTGTTTTCTATACATTGCCTGAAAGAAGTTAAAGTGGTGTTTCATGGGCAATTGCACAATTTTTTAGCCATTCTTTATTTGCATTTTGTTCATATGACCTCATATCCTCTCTTTTGTTTTATTCTCTCTCTTGCTCTTATTTATCTTTGACAATTTTTCAGGTACATTGTACGCACATGCGTACTGTCCTACAGGTAGATTTGCCCCTGTGCGACAAACGCAGACTGCAGACTTGCAGACAGGCTGGTAAACATTGTTCTAAAATGCTCTATCCCCAACCCTAACCGTTACCCTTGAAGGCTTGTTTTAGGCTTAATTAGAGTTAGGATTAGAGCATTTTAGAACAATGTTTACCTGCCAGTCTGCAATTGGTTTGCACCTCATCAGGCAGTTTTTTGTTTTGCCGGACTGACATTGACCAAATCGCCGGTAAAGCTCAAACAATATTCTTAGCTTATGTTAGTAGACGTCCTGGTCTACCCAGAAGAGAGAAACTAGCAACACAACCATGCATGATTATTCGGACTTGTTGGCGCGAGGAACTGAAAAAAGAAGTCTTCACCTAATTTTTTTCGCCATTCTTTTCACCTCGCTCGTGCACGCCGCATGGTAGTCGTTCTCTCTGGTCTCGCCCCTCCTTCGCGGGTGCGATTCTCGGTCTTTTTTCGAGTAACGAAAAGCATAACTAGGCAGTCATGCAATCATCTCCCGGGAATCATCTATCGATCGTCATAATTATTCATAATAATTTTCTCGCTTTTTTAAAATGGGGTTGTCAAGGGACATGCTCAATCCACCTTACCATACCCATCTTAAATTCTTAATCCGTCATATCACTGTTGTTCGGATGGTACAAAATGACTCAAAGTGTTGTTATTCAGGCCCGCGCACAGTCGCCCCTCCCCTCAGAGGAAAATTCAGATAAGAAGATTCGTTTTTTCACCTTATTTTTCCTAATGAGAGGAGGCTGCCGTACACAAGCTATTATCATTTTGCTGCAAACAACATCAAGTTAATTTTTCGCAAACTACGCACATTGATATTAGACCCTCACAACTGCGTATAGCAGGTGCTTCAACGCGTCATTAATTTTTCAAGTCCTTATAACTACAGTGTCTGAATTTCTCTTATCAGATCGTTGTGTAATCAAATTTAAACTTCATGGAAAATAAAAAACAGTCATCATCATCAAATAATTCAGTTCATAACAATTTTTTTCTTCTCTGTTAATCAGAAAGCGTGACTAGAATAGCGTAAAGGAAAAAGCTATTTGTACGTTAATTAAAATTGATGAGCTCCTCATTTGAATATGATCATCACGTTAATATTGGGGTTGAAAAGCTGATTTAAACTTCTGACTTCAAGTAGCCTTTACAATGATGAAAGCCGATAAAGTAAATTGGGAAAATCACTTCGTTTTAACAGCATTAGTTAGTTAGGTAGGTACAGAAGAATCCCGATTTTTTGATCCCTCGGTTTTTCGAAATTCCCAATAATTCAAACCAAACTTTACTTCCCTTCACCTGTCAAACACTGTAATTTTTACCCCCAATTTTTCAAACGTTCAGATAATTCGAATCAATTTGCTCTTCCCAAAGTGGTTCGAAAGATCGGTATTCTACTGTAGTTATAAGGTAGGAGGGTAACACGCTGACTACTTAAATCACAAGGGAAACACCCCAGCCCCAACAACACAACCATGGAGGGCGTGTTTGTTTAAACATGATTAAATCCCGATATACAGAAAGCGGAGAATTTGACGTCACTCCTGGATCTCAACAGACTGCTCGAGCGCTCTTGACCTACGTAAAAATACGGGCTGTTTTGTAGTCTAACTACTATAAAGGTATACAATTATTAATCAATAGACCAAACTTTCTGTGGGTTTACCGGCGTGATAACCCACGCGGGATGTTGGGAGAAAAACTCGAGAAAAGTTTGTAAATCACGATCAAGGTGGTTCCGACGCCTGGCACCGCCATATCTAAATTAAAACTCCTCTCTTTGCTTTAGATGTCGCTCTCAAGTGTCATATACATATCTGTAGCCGTACTTCGGACATACCAAAATTTCTTCTAATTCCTAAGGCCGGAGGCGGTTTGGTATAATTTTGTATTCTATACATTACTATTGACTTATCAGAAGCCCGTCTTGTACCTTGTTTAATAGAAAAAATGAATATGCACTTTCACTTACAGCGTGGCATATATCAAATGTGTTTAGGGTATTTGGCCTATAGGACGAGGCGAACGTTTCGCGCCATATGCTTTTTTTGTGACGCGCAAGGAAGTTATCAGCTGCACATCTCTTGTGAATCGTACCACTTGAAAAGTCCTCTATATCTCTCTACATTAACGAGATGCAGTTTCATCAGTTGTACTACCCGCACACGTCATACTGACATTCACTAATTTAGCCAATGGCATTAATAGTAAACATTGTTTTACAAGTCTTACCACTTGTACATCTTTAATCTCCCGACAGTGCGATTTTTAAAACGTGTAAATGGCTTCTTAAGACTGAGGTAAGACTCAGTACGGAAGATTTAATATTGTTAGGTTTGGGGTAAGAATTGTCTCAACCAAGGAAAAAAAAATATTTTGCAAGCCAGGAAAAAGGAACTTTTGCTCATTCTTGGTTTAAAGAGGTATTTCAATGCAGAAAAAATATTTCAGTTTGTGCTTTATTGTGTTTAATCTGGGTATGTTGTACATATACGTTTATCTCAATAGACCATTTCTGAGTTGCCAAAAGTCTCTGTTTCAAAGCGAGGCTAAATGCGAAGCTATTGATATGAAAATGAATTTTTATTCTCGTGCAATTAACAAGAAATATTTTACACTTAGCTTCGTTTTGAAAGTGAGACTTTTAGAATTCGGAAATGGCCCAAATTTCATCTTGATCAATTTATCATTTAGTGGTGCGCGGACACATTATCCGTGTCAGCAACCGAATACTTTTCATGAGAGGATAAAGTAATTTTACTCAGCAGTTCTTTTCTTTGTTTTTCAGTGTGCTACTAATGGAGTTGTCCCCGTTGAATCTTGGTCTTAAAGTTTATGTTTTTATACTCGTCCTTTCACTTGCAAATGTCGTAAAAGGTAATTCAATCATATATGCTTTACTGAAATGTCTCTTTACTAAACGTCTTACTTGCGATCAGGCGTTCTTTCTTTCCTTCCCCTTTGAGAGACGAGGGCAAAAAAGGACGCCTAATACATTTACTTTACCAGTCCTCTACCCGTAGTCTGTGTCGCCTAATTGGTCGTTATATAATAAAGTAGTGTTCGACCAGTTTCTTTCTTACTGCTCTAGCTTGTTGATAGTGAGTATGTCAGACAGGCATGTAGTGCAGAGAAAAAATAATAATTATCTTTCAAAAAAATATTGCGAAATTGAAAGCGCAGTATTGTAGTAAAAAGCCCTTTGCAGTTCGATGCCACGCGAACTAACCCTTACTAAAATTTGGATTTAACCTAAAGTATACGAGAGATTGAAACAGCATAATATAAAATAAATAGTGGATCTTCTAAATTGTAGGTTTTAAAACTCTTCAGCGTACCATTTTATGGTGTTTTGAATAACCGAAAAAAAAAAACTATTAATATGTATTAATGGAAAAAGGCGTCGGACTAAACGCCACGCGGTGGAGCAATTTGGTTATCCGTTTTATAGAAACTCGTCGAACTCGTCAACATTTGTCCTTTACCAAATTTTCTTACGCTCTATCCATGGTATTGTTTGTTGTTTGTTGGTCTGGATCCCATATTTTTTGCAGTAAGCATTTTGTTCACGTGACTGCAAGCTGCAAAGGGCCTATACGTATCTTAAGTTTGCAACCAACACAGAAATTACGCATGAGCAGGGCATTGTCTGCAGCTAAACGTTTTTCTCTACTATGCATGAGTAGGCCTTTGTCTGCATGCAGTTGTCTGTAGGTGGCCTAATGATCTTTAGAAAAAATAATTTGAAAAATATTTATCTGCTTGAAAAATCAACAAAAACAATAACGTTCAAAAACCTCTGAGGGCCCTGGCGTTTGTGTGGCGTAATCTAAGTTAGACTCTCAGTAAGAGGCTTTATAAAGCTCATAATTTTTATCTTTCTTAACGCTTCTACAGGACAAGATGTCTGCATTTTAAATCCCTGTCAAAATGGTGGATCTTGTATTCCAAAACAGCTTAACGACTACATGTGCTATTGTTCGAGGGACTTTACCGGTCGAAACTGCACGGAGCGTAAGTAAAATGAAATTTTACAAATGCAATGGCCGTTCAAGTGGGAGGAAGGTGGGAACCGGGGCCCCAACTAGTTATTGTTAGGCCCGCAGGGCCAAGAAAAATTATTTTCGATGCCGGGCCACACACTTATCTTAGGGCCTGGATGAGCGGGTCCCCCAGTTACCTTAAGATCTGAATCTGTCGCTGAACACTGAAGAGAATTTAAAGCCTCTGTCCGCTCACAATAGTCCCTTTTGATTTAAAAATCATCACTGACCTCTGTTGTCCATGTAGGAGAAGTGCAGGTGTAACTGATGGAAGGGATCATTTTTCGCCTGCACTCCTGATGACCTTGTGAAAATGATACTTTAGCGCAGAAAGCTTCCTCCTTTTCGTCTCTGAATTTTCCAAGTTACAAAATGTATTTTGTTGAAAAATACACGTCGTTATTCTTGTAATAGGCTGGTGGCCATTATTCTTGTGGTAGACTCTCCAGGAACACGAGCTAGTGTCCTAACTTACGAGATACGGTAATAACGGGATAATAGGCGAGATTTCATTGAATTTGCTTCAGAGTGGCAACAAACCATTTTTAATTTTGACAATCCTGTTAAAAGTTGGACTTAACAGGGTGAAAATTAATCCACAACTCAAAAAGCATACATTTGTTCAAAAATATCATTTAAAGATTTTAGTCAAAATGTTTAAAGATGCTTGGAAAATCCGTTAAGCGAGAATCTAGGGTCAAATGATAATATCGCAAACCTCCGTATTTTTTTGCACTAGAGGGTTGAGGTCCTTTAAGTGGCTTTACCTACGAGGTGTCCTTAATAACTCTCTGTGTCCACAAGGCGTGAATTGACTGTGCAGATCAATAACATCCATGTAAAATCAAGGCTGACACATTTGTCTCTTATCTCTTTATTTTTCAGTCTCATTTAGAGGAAGCATTGGCATAAACAGTTTCGAGGCATATCTTCCCGGTATCACTGCTGAGACAGGGGACATGACAAATTTCAAAGCTTTGGACTTCCCAAGTTCCCGCCGTGTTGAACTGAAATTTGTGGGTACGCAACTGTCAGGACCAAATACCTACAAATGGACTGTTAATGGTACCACACTTGACGCGGCCAAAGATTCCCGTATCAGGATTTCCGAAAGTGGTTTTCTGACGTTTTTTTCCCCACGGCTCGATCATAAAGGAGAATACCAAGTCTTCGTGACAAACGAATTTGGTACTTTGTTTAGCAGAAAAATAAAGCTGGAATTTTCAGGTGTGTGCACTTTCTATTAGCTTTTTTGTCATTACCTTGGGGACGTTAAAAACAGTGGATGGCGGAATGAGTTACTGTTTAGTCTTTCTGCGCTTTGCGAAGTTCCGGAAGGCTGGGTCGAATTAAGTACATCGATCTAAGTGGCCTAGCTCTAAGGAACGAATTCACACCTTAATGATCTCTTTCCCCGCGGGTTTTAATTTCCCCGGCCCGTTCATAATTATATAAACCTTTTTATATTTCCTTACAGTTTTAAATGATCGAGTATGATCTTTGTGGAGCACGCGCTACTTGTTGCTAGGATACAGTCTTTAAAGCCTTATAGCCCGCATGCGCTTGGTACAGCGGATTTAGAGTTTTGTTTTCAGGCAGTATATTTTTTTCTGGGTATCAGTTTCTGTTATGTACGCTCTGTTAGGTGTTCTTGTGTATTCATCAAAACAGATGACAACATCGGGATTTTCAAACAAAATCGGGAGAATCCCGACGAGATCCATCCTCGGAGACCCAGGGCAGGATAGTGGGGACGAGGGAAAGTCTAAACGGGCGGGAAAATACGGCACGAAGAAAAGTAAACAACGGCGAGAAGAGCCCCTGGGGACAATGTCTTACCAGACCAGTTCCAAACGGTCGCCGCCGTTCTGGCACCAATCAGAAGCGAGAAAGGCGGCGACCGTTTGGAACTGGTCTGGTAAGACATTTTCCCCAGGGGTTCTTCTCGCCGTTCTTTACTTTTCTTCGTGCCATATTTTTCCGCCCGTTTAGACTTTCCCTCGCCCCCTTTATCAGCCCCTGGGTCTCCGACGATGGACGAGATCGGGATGGTTGGACAGTCTGCACTAGGGTTTAGTGAGCCAAGAATTAACCGCAGCATTATAAATTGTACTTCTATTTTAGTGAAAGTGTCATTGATGCATTAAGAGCTATAGTTTAGGACGGAATAGACATTGAGAGTGTAACATTGAACGCACTTCGAGAGAGAATAAACGCATTTAGTGGAGTTGAAAGATACAGTCCTTGATCGTAAACTAGAAGGGCCGGGAAATATTCCTGAACAAATAAGTAGGATTTGTATGGGAAAAACAACTAATTAAAACAGAGCCAATTTAACGATCATAATATTTGTTGTTCTAACCTCTGTTGTTATTTTTGGTCTCCTTGTAGCCGCAGGAGCTTTTCTTCAACCTAACGAGCCCATCAATATCACTCTGGAGCAGAATAAACCGTTTCTTCTTCGCTGCCCACCTCGTGCGTACAGCAACCGTGTGACTTATGACTGGATCGTTCAATCAACACAGACGTCAATTGCAAACAATCGTTCATTCGCCCCACAAATTCTCATGGAGCCCACTGGAGATTTACTTTTCTCGTTCGTCAACGGCAGCGAGCTGAGCCCAGTCCAATGTAGAACAAGAAACCTTTTTAGACGTTACATCGTTGGCCCTCCAATGTATTTACGCACCGTTATTCCAGGTACCAGTGGCGCGGCCTTTTTATATCGATCGGATATTTTTCGTATCTTTACCAATATTTGGCTTATATTGTTACCACACTCGAGATCCGCCTTTGGAAGTGGCTTACTGACTGCTTAATACAGTTTAGACGTTTAATAAAGGTTTGACAAACCTAAGAATTATTAAAAAATAAATTAAATAAATTAAGACAGTGAAAGATGGAGATTGAGATATCTATCTACGACAACTTGACCTTAAAGTGCCTCTACCTGTTTTTGTGCCAAACGAGAAGGGAAGTTAAAGCTAAACATCATACAGAGTGTATCTGTTGCACTAGTATGGCACATCTTGCAGCTGATATTGACAAAGAGACCGTTCACAACGTACGCTAAAGAAGCGCTAAGGAAACTGGAGCCGAAATTTGTCCCGCAATTGATTTTGAGAGAATCGCCGAGCTATTGGCTACTTCAGAAACGAAAAGGAAACTGGGCCGAGTTAACTTTCACAAAGACCTCTGAGATCGTTACTGGGGACGCGCCAGTCTGCTATTAGCCAATTACTCTGTCCCCAGTGACAGTCCCAGACGTCTTTGCGAAAGTTAACTCGGCCCACTTTCCTTCTCGTTCCTGAAGTTGCGAATTGGCCTTTCTTCCCCTGCTTCTAGTAACAGTTCCAGAAGTCTTTGCGTAATTTAACTTGGCCAAACTTCCTTCTCGTTTCTATAGTGGTGAATAGAGGTGAACACAAAGCAAGGACACTCTTTTGCTTCTCGACTTTTAAAACAAGTATCATTTAATGACCAATCTAACTTGAGACAAATGCTTGGCACCATTTTTACACCACATGTTCGTCAAATCAATCAAGCATACCAGGTCTGCTATCACTAAAAAGAATGAGAATCTTTGTCTGTGGCGTTCAACGTACACAGCTTCAGACCATCTCGCGGAACGCTCCAGTCTGTTAGAAATTATGTTAAAACCAACCTTTATAATTATGAAGTAGGAAGTACAGTGCCGGTTTTCAGATGTTTACTGCTGTTGTTTTTCCAGCTACGCAGAGCCCTAGTTCCTTGTCGCCGCTGAAATTTTACACATTTCCACAAGGTGAATACACCGTGCTTAGTGGAGATCAGTTCTACCTCAATTGCACCGCAGGAGGAAGGTACGATTCTTCGCTTTTAAGCAAGACAACAAGAAAAATCCTAGAGAGTCCAGGATATCAGAGAGATCAGTACTGCTAGGTTTGTAAGCAGGGTACTAATAATGCATTCTTATCATATTCTATAGGCCAGTCCCAAACATACAGTGGTATAAAGAAGGATCATTGATTCAAGATTCGGGAGACTTGTTTCAGCATCAGGTCTTCAACAGAACCCTGCGTCTGGGCTCACTAAACTCGACAATACATGATGGAAAATATATTTGTCAAGCAGTCAGTCCGTTTGGAAATTTGACAACGTCTTTCGATGTCAAAGTCATAGGTGTAAAAAATATTACTCTCCACAAAAAATATATATTTAAAATATTTGAGAACTACTCGATGTTAGGACATTTTTTTTGGTATTTCACTCGCTCTGTTAAATAGTTGCTATATATAGTCGCGGAGTATAAGATTGAGGACGAGTAAAAGTTTGCAAACTAAATTTCCTCCGATGAATCTATGATCACACCAATCTTAGCCCTAGCGTTTACTAAATTATTATTATAGAGAGCAAGGACGATAAAACGTAGAGGTACTTCGCTTCTTCGTCGAAGTCGATACGCCGAAGCGTGACGAGAAAGATGCTAAGCAAGGGAGACTACAATCTCGTACCCAAATGGACCAAAAAGCCAGAAGACTCTGGGTACGAGATTGAGGAGACTACGGAACATGCGTTCAACTAAAGGAACCCCAACCGGTTCTTGCGCACAGAAACATACCGATACCAACACTTCCAACGCTAACAATACAAGATACCTGGGGCAGCCTCTGCCGACGCATGCGAGTAGACTCACTTCTGCTTCGTAGCGCGGGAAAAATTTGGTGCTTAGTAGAACTAACACTGTCAAGTGAGTCTGCTCGCAGGCTGCCTCTGCCGCTACCACTAGTAACAAAGATCTGCTTACGTTTCTTATTGCTTTTGCTTTACTCGTGCGAAGAGAAAATGGAAGGCTTCTGCATCCAGTATCAAGTCTGATGACTTGCTCATTCGAGTAATATATAGATTTAGCCAGGGTCAAAACATGAGCGAAGCTCTCGAAGGATGTTTTACGAAATGTCTTTCTTAAGTAATTCATCTTTTACCGTAAGCAGGGAGCACAAACGGAATTCCTCTAATGAAGAGTCCTAAGCCCGCGTTCAATTAAAAAACAACAATTGGTCAGCGGATAACTTTAACAAATACGCCACCTCGATGAGTTGTATACGCTCGTCATCGTCCTCTTCCGCAGTTAAGCTCCATTTATGCAGGCACTAAATTTATCGTAGCTGCTGAATTGGCAAAGAAACATCGGCGTTTGGCTTGTTAACACCCTGCCAATGACAAGCATGTGAAATTTCTTTGTATAACGTTTTCTACCATCTCCGTAAACTGGTCACCTATCGCTCAAGCACTGTGAAATCCTCATACACGCCTTTGTGACTTCTCGAATTGATTACTGCCACTCACTATTATGTATCTGGTCTCCCACAGCATTTGCTGCAAAAACTCCATCATGTTCAAAACGCTGCGGTCCGTCTCCTTACGGACTCAAAGAAATACGATCATATTTCCCCGATCTTAGGAGAACTACAATGGTTTCCCGTCAAGTCAAGGATTGAGTTCAAGATGTGAATTTTGACTTTTGAAGCTTATCACGGAATTGGGCCTAAATATTTGACAGATTTTTTAGTTAAATATACACCTAGCAGAACACTCCGCTCCACCAACAAGGGGTTGCTAGTAGTCCCTAAGTATAATCTTGAACCCTATGGAAAGCGCGCTTTTTCAGTCATTGCCCCCTCACTCTGGAACAATTTATACCAGACCAAATAAGAACTACTGCTTGCTTAATTTCTTTTAAGAATAGAGATAAGACCTTTTCATTTAGCCGTGCCTTTTTGATTTTTCTTATGTTTTTATGATGTAGTTCTACAAGTCATATTTTAGTAACTTTTTTAGATTTTTCTCACTTTTGTTTTTTTAGTAGAATTGTTAAGCGTCATTGGTTATCTAGTAGAAATGTCGCTATATAAATAACTTACTATTATTATTATTATTATTATTATTATTGTATACCTGAGCCCACGATACAGTCATGTGACACTAGCCAGCGGATGTCCTTTTTTCGATGGCTGTCAATTGACTATATAACATGATTCCCCATAATGGGTGTCCAATACCAAGTTAAACAACAGGCCCCAGTTTTTCAAAAGCTGGATAGCGCTTTCCATCGGATAAATCTCTACCTTGTGGATATGTATTAGGGAAACCGATTGCACTATCGACTGAACAGAGATTTATTCGGTGGATAGCGCTATCCACCTTTTGAACAACTGGGGCCAGATAATATGTGCCCTCAGGACTCCTAGCTAAAAAATGTGCCATT